GTACCCCCTTACACAGCGTGATCAGACCCCATTGTCAAAACAAATAATTCCATTTTTGGGGGGTGTTTTCCAGTTCATCCGGAATCCTCCATAAATCGGAGACCGGATAAACAGGCCAGATTCTATGGTAAAGCTATCGGCCCAGAAATGCCATGCTACCCAGCCGTAAAGCATATATATATATCACGCGCACACGAAAAAAAAGCAAAATTTGAAGGACATTTTCAATGAGAATTCCACAAAAAAATGACTCCACCTATTAACCATTAGTGTTGAGCGGGAAGCACCCACACACCCATCTGCCGTAGAAGCAGCACACTTGCAGAGATGTATGTAATCTTTCTCTTATCTCTTAAAGGAGGAAGTGGTCCCCACGTGATGCTCCCATTGGGCCCAGGAAAAATATCGGGCAGGGAGTTCCGTGCGAGACACTGCAAGGGACCGAGGAGGGCACGTCGGTTTGCGTGGGCCGTATTTGCGATGAGTCCTGGTAGTGCGTGGGGGTGTCGATTCGTGGGAAAAATTTGTGAAGGGGGGGGGTCCATATTGGCGACGAGGGTGATGGTGGTCGTGGGCGAAATTTGCAGGGACCGTATTTGCGACGAGCGGATTGTGGTCTTGGCCGTATGTGTGCAGGGGAGAGGGTTGCGGTGCACGTGTGCTTCGGAGAGTTTTCCATCAATAGGATGAGCAACGCACCAGCCAACAGGTAACTCTGCAGACCCGGCGACTGGCCTCACATTACTCCCATCGATAGAGAGGCCACTTCCATCGACAGGATGAGCAAAACCCGAATGAATCAGACACACACACACGCGTGCAATAGTGTATATTTGGACGTTCTAGCGGTAGATTCATTCGATGTTGCTCATCCTATCGATGGAAGCACAAACACACACACACACACTTAAAAGTGTGGCAGTGTATATTTCCATGTTCTAGTGGTAGATTCGTTCAATTTTGCTCCTATCGATGGATGTACCCTCTCTCTCTCTCTCTCTCTCTCTCTCTCTCTCTCTCTCTCTCTCTCTCACACACACACACACACATTCACATGTAGTGGTGTATATTTCGATGTTATAGCGGAAGATTCATTCGATTTTGCTCATCCTATCGATGAAAGTAGCGTGAGGCCAGCTGCGCTATGAAACCGCTTGAGCGCTCTAAAGCGAGAGCGCGAGCGCGTAAAGACCCCCCTGCCGCGCTAAAACGAAGCGCTCTAAGGTGCTCACACTCGTCAAAAAAAGAGCCGCTATGAAACCGCTTGAGCGCTCTAAAGCGAGAGCGAGAGCGCTTAAAGACCCCCCTGCCGCGCTCAAACGAAGCGCTTGAAGGTGCTCACACTCGTCAAAAAAAGAGCGTGCGCACGCATTGGGTTGCGCGAGGGCAGGGGTCGACATGGGGCCATTTGCGTGCGCAAAAAAAAAAAAGGGTGGTCGAGGTGGGTTTTTTTGGCGGGGG